ATAAGACATTTGCAAGGGTGAAAGAGGCGTACCTGAACTTGACCATGATGTCTAGTGCCCACTGGTCAAAGTCTTCGTCTTTGTGAATGCGCACCTCGCCACCGCAGTTGATCTGCTCAAAGTTGTACGCGAACGCGTCGTTGATCTGCCTCACAAGCTCCTCAAGCTTTGGCTCCCATTTCTCGCGGAGCCTTGTGATCTGTCGCATTTGCTGGTCGCTCTTGCTCTGTGCTTCTTCCATCTCGCGACGGATCTTTTCAATGTCTTTGGCTCGCTTGTCGTAGTCACGCATGGCGTTGGGGTTGGCATGGAGCAGCTCGAGCTTGGCGCTCTCGGCCTTGATCTCGTTGTCGATATCCTCGAGCGTCTTGCCGGCAGCCATCTCGGTGAGGTAAACCTGTCGTTCAGTCGGATCCGCCGCTTGGATGCACATCTCCTTAACCTTTTCGTGAGCTTCTTTGGCCTCAGCTTTCGAAGTCTGTTTCTCCCTCTCGACCTCAACAATCTTCATCTTCTCATGGTCCAACCTTCTCACGAGTGTTGTGTTCTTATCCTTAAGCCCTTCAAAGTCAGACCGTGCCTCGATCTCACGGATCTGGCCCTCGATGAGTGCTTGCTGGGCGTCGTGCATGTCTGCGATATTCTGCTGATACTTCAAGCCTGCACGAGCAGTCTCCAGTACGGCTTTATCGCATTGCACTTCAAGATCAATGATGACTGCGCGGCACGACTCCAACTCCTCTTGCTTCTTGACGCCCAACTTCTTTTCATGCTCTGTTCGACATTAGCTCCGCTTGCCATGTCACGAATCTAAGTCACTCACCGAGCTTCGCTGGAATAGCTTGGTACTCGCTGAACTCCTTCTGCAGTACCTTTTTCTGTTCTTTCAGGTCCTCCTACACCATAATTAGCATTGGTACCCCAAGAGACTGAAGCTCGTTCTCTGACCGTCACTGCCAGGATGGACTCTCGCTGTGCGTGGTTCTCCTCAGCTTCCTTCTTGGTGCTCGTATTCTCCTCTCGAAGAACTGCCATGTTCTGCTTGACCTCGTCGAGGCGCCGTTGTAGCTCCTGCTTCTCGGCCAAATCCACTTCGTCTTTCCACCAACGGCCTGGCTGTATTTCGCGGGTCGTGTTGGAAACAGCCTTCAGATCTCTTCGGCGTTTTACAGCATACAATTGATTACCGGTCGCCCAGTTTTGCACCTTGTCCTCTTGCATAAGGACTTCGTATTGGGTCTCGTTGACATCCTTGAGTCCGATACCTGCTAGATGAAGCTTCTTTTCGTTGCAAAGCATTGCGAGGACAGGCTCCGGACCGCTCAACTGGTCGATTGCCCAGCAGTCAAAGCCCATGCGCTGGGCTTCCTCTACGGGAAGCTTGTTGAACGACGAGAAGGAGCTGCGGCAGGTCCGGATGCTGACTGACAGCCCGAGCTTACCGTACAGTTGAGCGCTCAACTTCTTGTGATCATCCACCGTCTGAGCGGTGAAGCACATGAAATCGTCAAGCTGCAACATGGCTTGAATGTGGTCAGAATACCGTTTGTCCTTGACATTGCAGCAAAGCATGGGTGGCCCATAGACTTCCTGCTGGAATTCTTCGCCGTTCTCTCGTAGCCACTTCCAGGCTGCCGCAACGTCGGGAAAATGCTTCTCGAGGACCTTGAGTTGTTGTCCCTCTTGGGTATCCAGATCAGAAAGATCCCGCGCCAGCGTGTTCTGCTCATCCCTGACCCGTCGGCCTCGCTCCTGGACGTCGCGTATTCGCGTCTGTATCTGACGATCCTCGGCCTCGAGCTCCCGGATCGAGTGTTCTTGGGCACGCTGAAGGGAGGGAGTTAATTTTGTTCGGCAAGCAAGTGAGACGACACACTCACAATTTTCTGATTCCATTCTTTGGGGTCAAAATCAGATGGTTTGTTCTTCAGTCGCCGTTCCAGCTGACCGATCCTAGTCTTGACCAGGCCCAGCTCCCTCTTTTTCACATCGAAGACTTTCTTTTCGGCGTCTATCTTAGCCTGACACTGGGCCATCTCTTCCTGTGAGTTCTCGCACGCATTCAGTGCTCGATCTGCGGCCCCATCCACCGCCCTGACCGCAGCGTGTCGGGCTTGGACGGCAGCAGCGACAGCAGCGTGATAGCGCTGTTTGCTGTTCACCGCTTCCAGGGCCGGGGCTGATTCGCTCTCCAACTGCTGCAGGAGTTGCCTGGCGTCTTTGTAGGCACGCTCCGTCTCTCGGTACTTGGTACGCAGGAAGAGGTAGTGGGCGATTTTTCGGGCATCCCCCAAATCATCGATGCGTACCAGCGCTTCCTCTCTTTCTCGGAATCGGTCAACGTCCGCTTGCATGGCCTGCTGCCGGTTTTCGAGATTGGCTAGTGTCTCGGCGTGGGAACCTGATCGCTGTTGAAGTTCCTTGTGGTCCTTGTGAAGTTCCTGTAGCTCCGTCTGCCATCTCAGCATTTGAGGGTCTGCTGCAGCCCTCAGGGTTTCGTGTAGCAAATCGACCGGCGTGCAACCGGCGAACTCGACGACCCGATCCTGGGGCAGGAACTGGCAGAGGTTGTCTACTTGGATACTGAGGTCCCTCATGAGGCCCTGGATGGCCTTGTGCGTCGCCTCCTTGCCGTTGAGTCGAAATCGGGAACTGTTGCGCTCACGGTCGATCTGGACTTGGACGACGTGGTTCCTCCGATCCTGCCGGCGCCTCTGAAGCTCGATCTCGATGGTGGCCGTGGCCTTTCCATGCTTGACGAACTCTTTAATGCTACCTGCGCGGCCCAGATGCTTGGGGCTGTAACCTAGGCCGAGGCAGATGGCGCAGACCAACGAGCTCTTGCCGGTGCCGTTGGGACCGATGACCATGTTGAGGTTGGGACCGGGAAAAAACTCGGCCCTCTCGTAGGTCACAAAGTTTTCCACCTTGACACGCCGAATAGCGCCAGGCTGGAAACCGTCCTCATCGAAATCGGGCTTGGCGGCACCATTTGTTCTGGATGATCGCTCGGTCTCTTGTTGTTCGCTTGTGTCGTCCCCGTCGCTGTCTTCGGATTCCTGTTCGGTGACTCTGCGCCTCTGACGCCGAGGGGCTTCGTGTTCTTCCTCATCGCTGTCTTCGCGTTCGCGCCGGCTCCGTCGCCGTGAAGCGGCGTCGGACGCCATGGCGATAGTGGTTCTCGATCCCCCAAGGTAGTCTTCGGGGAGAGTTTGTGTTGGCAGCAACGGACGAGGGGCTCAGTCAGCAAACCGTGGAATGTCACGATCTTGCGAGGAGAGGTCGGATATTCTGGGTCTGAGGGACGGTGTTCGGCATGGGCGGGCTGTAAAGAGGCTGTCCGTGCCTAAAGTCAGGTGCGACGCGATTGGACGCGTTACCTCTTTGTCAGTTCGCGTCGGCTGTGGCACGTGGTGGGGCTCGCGATAGTTGTCATCGAGGTACCTGTACAGCTTCCTGCTTACCTAAGTTCTTGGAGTGCAGGCAAAGTACCTGGGCGATTGGCCTGGCAGCCCTGGGTGGGTGGGTGTCTGTCTGACCAGAACGGGCAGGTGGAGCTCGGCCGATCTTCAGTGAACGTCAGTGCGCTGGTCAGTCTGCAATGCTCAGCAGGCGCAGAAGTGAGTCCAACTTCATCCCTTCCATTGCTCGGCTCCAGCCTGACGTTGACACGTTGTCTGTCGTTTCTTCGGGCCTTCTCCAGGCCTCCAAACTCCGATCACTTCTGCAATCATGGGTTTTCAGACCTTTTCGTCGCCTACTTGCAGCTCAATACGAGAAGAACTTTATCCCATGCATCGCTGTATCCGACATGGGGGGTCGAGTGTTAGCGATGACCTCGTTATTGCGCCCACCATCAGACGATGAAAAGTCCTTCTGATAGTCTGCGGATGGTATGAGCTCAGCTACTAGTACTTCTTAATTAAGAAACCCAACATTCCGGAACAAACCCCCCATTTCTGAATTCTACATGGATATCAAACCTTGGCCTGCCTCCCGTGAGAACCCGCGTACACGCACATCTCAGCCTTCAGTCTAGTATCTGCCGAACAATTAATGCCACGTTGACTAACCAGTCTACCAGCTGTGGATGCTTTGACAAGATATCAGCGCAAGATATACAGCGCGGGTGCCCGGTTCCTGGCTCCCTCAGGCGGCTGCCAATGGTCGTAGACAGCGATTTCCGATTGCGAGGCAACAGTTCATACCACATCTAGAGTGCTCATTATGTCCCATTTTAGCCACCAGGATAGTCGTGAAAAGATCACCGAGCAGCCTGTGTGGCTAGAATCGGCTACGTAGTGATTTGAGCACAACGCGTCTGTCGCGTCCGAAGTATCGCGTCTTCGTGGTGTGGCTACCCAGGTCACGTTGCTTCGTTCACATCACTAAAGAACCACATGCGTGAAAGTGGTGACAGGGTCGAGCCAGAAAATATTGGAGGTTGGCAGCAATGCCGCGCATGAGAAGAAGGACGGAAGGAATGGCCAGAAAACGATGGAGGAGGCAGGGGTCTCGAAGCAAGCACGCTCATGACAAGAAATTCACCATGGAAGGCACCTCCTCCCTTCGGTCCTCCTGACATGACATGGAAGCATCGCCACCCCGCTCTGCTGCATTCCTCCCAACGGCCGCCAAAACAGTCGCGTCAGCCTGTCTGTCCTCTCTTCTTCAGCTCTCTTCGCACCTCCTGCTCCGGTTGACCTACACTCGCTTGGTCCAGTTCCTCGCCACTCCCGACGGTCTTCTCTCTCCAGCACCTCTGGCTATCCGGGACCACCTTCCAACTGCATCACCAAAAAAAAAGCCTTCATCATCTTCGCCCCAACTGAACTGCATCGTATGGTCGGTTCTGTCCGTCACTCGCTGGGTTCGCGGTCGCACTCCTTCGTTGACTTTTATCTGCTTTCCACTGCATAACCTTTTGAGGTGCCTTCCAACACAGTTTCACAGGTACTCCCACCGACATGCTATAATCGCCTCTACTGGCTCGCAGCATCATGTCGGAAGGCGGGCGTCCCAAGTCGTCCGCGGCGGTTCGGCCTCCTCTGGGCGACGCTACTTATCGGATCAACAACAACCTGCCCAACGCATCAGCCAAGTCGCCCAAGTCTCATGGCCCCGAAGCCAACGGTGCTCGAATTGACCCTGTCGTTTCACTCGTCAATCCTGATATTGAGATGTCGGATGAACCTACTGTGTCCGAGCCGCATGCTCACGACGGAGGCCACAACTGTGCTGCGCCGCCTTCGGGACCGCAACCGCGACATCCGCGAACGAGGGCCGTCCAAGAAACCGACCCCTCTAAGCGAGTCTCGCAAGCATCTACTGCCCCTTCGAGTAATAGAAGCAGCAATTGCAGCTACAAGACCCAGGTTGGGCCTTGGCAGCTGGGCAAGACGTTAGGGAAGGGGTCATCAGCACGCGTTCGACTGTGCCGACACCGCCTCTCCGGAGAACTCGCTGCCGTCAAGATCATTCCGAAGAAGACGGCATATCTGATTCAACACGGCAGCCTCGCCGCTCTCCACCAGTACGATGATAGTCTCCCAGACCGGATCGACGGCGAAATGCGTGTGCCAATGTCCATCGAGCGTGAAGTCGCCATTCTCAAGCTTGTTGACCACCCCAACGTCATGAAGGTGTACGATATTTGGGAGAATCGCTCAGAAATGTAAGTCGAATGGTGTGAGTCGATCAAGATGTGACAAGCGTGGCTCACCCGTGCATAGCTATCTGGTGCTCGAATACGTCGACAAGGGTGACCTCTTCGACTACATCAATACCAATGGGCGTCTCAACGAGGAGGCGGCCATGTACTTTTTTCGACAGATCATGAGCGCCATGCAACATTGCCACGCCTTCAACATCTGTCATCGCGACTTGAAGCCTGAGAACATCCTGCTGAACGCCGAAAACCAGATCAAGATTGCAGACTTTGGCATGGCTGCCTTGCATCAGTCTGAAGGCCATCGTCTTGAAACTGCGTGTGGCAGTCCACACTATGCTGCGCCTGAGCTGCTGAAGAACAAGCACTACCGCGGAGACAGGGCTGATGTATGGTCAATGGGTGTTATTCTTTACGCCATCCTGGCTGCTCGACTGCCTTTCGACGACCCCGACATTCGCGTCCTCCTTGCAAGGACCAAAAAAGGGATATACGAGATGCCCGAGTTTCTCAGTCCCGAAGCAAAGGACCTCATATGTCGCATGCTCCAAGTCAATCCAGACATTCGAATCAGTCTCAAAGACATGTGGCGCCACCCCTTGATTCGGAAGTACGATTACCTCGACAGTTTTGGCACCAAAGCTGGGCAGCCACGAAACATCCGTGAAGGTTTCGACTACACCCCTCTGAAGCCTCAGGAGGTCGACGACCATCTAGTGAGACAATTACGCTCGCTGTGGCACATGTTCTCTGAACATCAGATCAAGCTCATGCTTCTCGATTCATCGTAGGTCACTTTCTTCTGTATAATATCAGTCTGGAATACGCAGTGTTGATCGGTACTGACAAGTCATGTCCAGTAAAAATGATCAAAAACTCTTTTACTGGCTGCTCCAGCAGTATCGACAGAAACAACTGGAAAATTTTCTTCCGGAAGTCTCTCAATCACCGAGCGACTATCATCACCTTCACCAGCCAGCCTGGAAGAAGCGTGTGTCAACCTGCGAGTTCACTCAGCCGCGAGCTCACGGCCACGGCAGAAGCATTTCCAAGTTTACTGTCATCTCTAATGTTCCTGACACCGACGTCGGTACGGTCAAGAGCTATGATCCGTACAACTCTAGTCGTCCCATGCGTGCGAATTCGCAAGTAAGCCATGCCAGAATTGTCGTGCACCGGAGAAATCAACCCAGCAAGAGCTATGCCCGAGAAGACACGTATACCTCCCAGATCACCAGGACGGGCACACGGTCGACTGGTCGCCACACACGAGTCGACTCGCAGCGAACTGCTGTTAGCGGTCGCTTCCCGTCATCACGAGGCTCCATGGGTTCAGTGGCGAGCAGTCGGCAGGGAGGATCTTATAGTCGCCCAGCTTCGCGCCGCAAACGCAGAGTCGACTTTTCCCAGGCCAGGAACCCATCAGTCGATCATCGCCGCGGGAAGCAGAGCATTCGACGGGGAGCAATGAGCAACGCAAGTAACCCTCTAGCACCGCGTCAGTCAGAAAAGGCTTCTGAAAACGTCCTCAGTCCCCCGAAGCTCCGCAAGGTGATGGACCGGCCACGGCCAAAACCAAGACTGAAGATAGTCAGGCCGCATGACCCACATGCCATGGTCAATGAAGAAGTCCGAAATTTCTCAAACAGTATCGCAAAGGATTGCGATGATGCGTTCAACAGTTCAGCCATTGGATCTGATATCAGCGAGCTGCCGCTTGATGTGGGCTCTAATGGACGACGGGACTCGACGCCTTTGTCTTTCACGACCACTGGAGCACCTTCAGTCTTCACGCCCACCGCACCAACCATCACAAACCATCCTTGGGATTCGCGGCCATTGCCGGCACTGCCGCCTCAGACTCCGGGCTCTCCCACTCCACAGGTAGAGTCCTTCCAGCAAGGACGAGAGGACCAAGCAGGCCTCAGCCGGATTATTGATCAAGTCAATCGCCTTGCTTTACCAGTACTGCTGCCCAAACACGATCGTAGGGTTGTTTCGGCCCCAGCATACGACAAAGGTCATGAAAAGCTTGCTTCTATCAACGAGAATGGGCGTGAAATCCCTCCACAAAGCCAGCACGTGGACATCGAGAGATCGCGCATCGTTTCTGCACCTCCTAGAACGCCTCGAAGTCGGGCAGATGCTGACGGACTGGATTACCTGTCTCGCGTAGGCGAAACGATTCGAGTCGTCAACTCTCCCACAGCAACAAGCCCCGTGCCAGCACCACTCAATGTACGAAAGAAGCATTCCCATCAGCTAGCTAGTGCGGTCGAAGGCGCCGGCCTGCGTCAAGTGTACATGCACGGTGCGATTCACGATAATAGGCCTCCCGCGGGGCTGTCTGAGTCTCGCATCAGTTCGCAGGGTACGGATTCTGTACGGAAGAAAAAGTCCTGGTTCAAGCGATCTGCCAAGGAGGATGATCAGCGCGAGGCGAGCATCCGCACCAAACAGACTTGTAGCTCCCGTGAAACGACCGACACAAGGCCATGTACTACGGCTACTCAGTCGACCATCGACTATAGCACTGAAGCGACGTCGCCGTCTCGCCACCATTCTGGACAACTCTCGCCGCCTCAGAAGAAGAAGTCGTTTGGACTATTGTTCTGGAAGAGTAACAAGGCAGAGAACCGCATGAGCATCGCTGGTAAGTTTTTTCGGTTGATCTTCTTCTGTCTCTCTCGGCCTTTTGTAGTCTGACTATGTGTCCAGGGCCCGATTACGAGGACTCGCCATCACCCGAATCTCGCAAGACGGGACGAAGCAAAGCCAGCCACCATGGGGACCAAAGCATTGCGGAGTCAGAGTCTGGGGTTAGAAAAATTGAAGTGCATCAGACATGGCTCGCACGCCTTTTTGGTGTGAAGCCGGCGACAAGCCACATGTGCCTTGTCGTGTCTCGCAAGCGTGCACGCCAAGAGCTCGCCATCCTGCTGAAGGACTGGCGGCGATATGGAATCCGCGACATCCAGGTGGATAAGGAGAGAAACGTCGTGTTCGCCCGCATTGGGTCGAAGAACTGTAAGTCAGAATAGACTCGCTGCCATTGCCCGTAACTCGGTGCTGACTAGACACTCCAGACCTGAACATCAAGGAAGTTTCTTTTGCCATGGAGATCATGACAGTCATCGAGCACGGCAAGCGAGGGTCCTTGAGCATTGTGCGTTTCACACAGGAACGAGGGGCCGCCAGCAGCTTTCAGAAGGTCGTGGACACGATCAAGTCGGTATTTGGATCGCGTCACCTGCTGGTGACGGACAAGCGCAAGTCGAAGATGATGATTAAGACGCTGAACTCATGAGAATGATGGGCAGGATTGCGCGAAAGAGGCTCAGCACATGTTGCATTGGCGACAGGCGATTGGCGTTGGCATTCATTACTGCGGAGGCGTCCTGGAAGAACAACTCGGCCAGAGGGATCTGGCTGACCATGGGTATTATTTGCTGTTTCATGCTGGTCAGGATGGACAACCATCCTTTTTATCATTCTCTCCTTTGTTCTGCTTCACTGAATTTTCTGTCTTGATACTCTTTGAGAGGGTGGAGGGAGCGAGAGGCGGGCAAGCAGAAGGAGTGCCGCTTGTCCGACAGCCAGGAGGAAGATGCCCCACGTTAGCTTGATGAAGCGGCATGGATAGATAATGCGTGGGAGTTGGATGTTCAAAGTACCGTACGACCTCTATTATTGCATTCTCTTTTGACTTTCCCCTCACTCTTGTCTTCACTGTCCGGACTATCACATTGTGTACAGAGTTGTTAGCAGAAACACACAAGCCTGTTACCTCAGCCGAGCCCGAGACCTTGGTCCCTCAGGAGGGTGGATGATGTGAAGTACCGGTACCTCGGCTTGCCGACGAGCCATGAATGACAGAAGAGCAATCGACGAGTGAAAATCAAGTTAGCAGGCCGAGGAGAAGGCGATCGTAGCGCCGATGGCCGTCTCGAAATTGAGTTGACAACCGGAGGGGGAGGGGGGTTGGACAATGTGCTGTTGACGGATAGAACCGGTTACTTGAGGTGAGGTTTCGGGGGGGGGGGCAATGATGTGGGGGGCCTCGGTTGCTCGGCCGGGGGGATGAGTATGCCTAAGAATGGAGGGGGGGGAGATAGCTTGCGGGAGTCGCAGCTCAGATTTCAAGGTTCGCGATGTTTCATCTTATCATGGTGTGGTGTGCCAAAATTCATTTCAATTGATGGTGTCGGCAGTGGTTTCGGTCTGCAGATCCGACGTCGGCGTTCAGAAGTGAATTCCTGGTGGTAGGGGAGGATTGATATTTTTTCCTCTTCCCTCTCTGGATCGTGTTTCCCATGATGCCCACGGGGAGGGCCCGCCAAACCGGCCGCGGGGAAGGCCGGCGGCGGTATGTGGAGACAGGTTCGTTCGTGAGGTTGCGCTCGCAAGGGAGCTGGCTGGGCCCGACAGTGACAAGTGGCGAGAGAAGCGCATTGACTGACATGCCAGGCGAGGGAGGTAGGTGATGTGATGTGAGCAGCCATGACCACATTGACGACAATGACACATGCTGTTCGACACGGTCCACGGGTCAACATGGCATCGGTCGGCTACTCTGTTGCTACCCCACACTTTCACGAGCACTCGGGCGGGCTGGCCCAATTGTCACGGGCTGATTGACATAGTTCCCCAGGCCCGGCTCAGGCAGCTAACGTCACAGGGTAGGCCGTAAACGTCAGTGTTGCCGGCAGAGGTTGCACATCCATACACCCGAACCAGCCCGACGAGTGCCGAGCCGGGGAGAGGGTGCCCATCTCGTCCTTGTGTGAGGGCGAGGAAGGGTAGAGCTGAGCCCAGGCAAGGCAGCTGGGGCCATGGGGCGAGAGCTGCTTCGGAAGAGATCCCGAGGTGGGATCGAGGTACCGAAGAATCGTATGGGACGCCCGGCGGCGCGCTTTGTACCCACCGACCGAGCGCGCGCGCGCTGTGGCCCCTCCTCAATCGCCTACCCTTCTTGCCTTCACCTCTCAGATCAGTGCCTTCCTGGGGCAGAGGCAGGCGCATCGTCGCTGCTGCCGCCTTATCGCCGTGGACCCTTCCGTCATCGGTCGGTCGTCCCTGCCCTCTGCGTGCCCTCTGCCGAAGCTCAAAGAGTCAATCCCGTCTTCTTCCTTCCCCTCCTCCCCTCTTCTCGCCTTATTATTTCTTGATTCCAACCTCCTACCCATCCATGCCAGTCTGGTTCTGTTCCTACCCTCCTTGAACAGTTGAACGTTTGCCGTTGCCTGGTTGATACAAATTCTCATCTCCCCTCGTGGTCATCAGTAAGCTCTTCCTGGCTTCGGTCGCTGTTCGTCTGGTGGCATGTGAAAAGCTTACACGGGAACTTCTAGGTGGACACTCTGCTCGCTATCCAAAGACACAACCCCGCCAGTCCAACCACCATGGCTACTTCCGAGGCCATCCTCCAGGGCGTCAACGTCTCTGGCACCATCCAAGACGCCCAGCGCAAGATTCTCACTCCTGAGGCGCTGACCTTCCTCGCGTTGCTGCACCGCTCCTTCAACCCTACTCGCAAGGCCCTGCTCGAGCGCCGTAAGATTCGTCAGGCCGAGATCGACCGAGGTAGTCTGCCGGACTTCCTTCCCGAGACCAAGCACATCCGCGAGAACCCGACATGGAAGGGTGCGCCCCCGGCTCCCGGCCTCGTCGACCGTCGCGTTGAGATCACGGGCCCCACCGACCGCAAGATGGTCGTCAACGCTCTCAATGCCGACGTCTTCACCTACATGGCCGACTTTGAGGACTCCTCCGCCCCCACCTGGGACGCCATGGTCAACGGCCAGGTCAACCTCTACGACGCCAACCGCCGCCAGGTCGACTTCAAGCAAGGACCCAAGGAGTACAAGCTCCGCACCGACCGCACCCTGCCTACCCTCATCGTTCGCCCTCGTGGCTGGCATCTCGAGGAGAAGCACGTCTCCGTGGACGGCGAGCCCATGTCCGCCTCTCTCTTTGACTTTGGTCTCTACTTCTTCCACAATGCCCGTCAGACTCTCGACATTGGCATTGGCCCCTACTTCTACCTCCCCAAGATGGAGTCCCACCTCGAGGCTCGCCTCTGGAACGATGCCTTCAACCTTGCCCAGGACTACCTCCACATCCCCCGCGGCACCGTCCGGGCCACCGTCCTCATCGAGACCATCCTCGCCGCGTTTGAGATGGACGAGATCATCTATGAGCTGCGCGATCACTCTGCCGGCCTCAACTGCGGTCGTTGGGACTATATCTTCAGCGTCATCAAGAAGTTCCGCTCCAACCCCAACTTTGTCCTGCCCGATCGCAGTGCCGTCACCATGACCAGTCCCTTCATGGATGCTTATGTCAAGCTCCTCATCCAGACCTGCCACCGCCGTGGCGTCCACGCCATGGGCGGCATGGCTGCCCAGATCCCTATCAAGGATGACAAGGCTGCTAACGACCGCGCCATGGACGGTGTCCGCGCCGACAAGCTCCGTGAGGTTCGTGCTGGCCACGATGGCACATGGGTTGCTCACCCTGCCCTGGCTTCCATCGCCGTCGATGTCTTCAACAAGCACATGCCCACTCCCAACCAGCTCTTTGTTCGCCGCGAGGACGTCCGCGTGGGTGCCCAGGACCTCCTCAACATGAATGTCCCAGGTCGCATCACCGCCGACGGTATCCGCAAGAACCTGCTGATTGGTCTTGGTTACATGGAGGCGTGGCTCCGTGGTGTCGGCTGCGTGCCCATCAACTTCCTTATGGAGGACGCCGCCACCGCCGAGGTGTCCCGCAGCCAGCTCTGGCAGTGGGTGCGCCATGGCGTCAAGACGGATGATGGCACCACTGTCGACAAGGGTTACGCGCTGAAGGTCCTGCGTGAGTGCACCACGGAACTGGCTGGCAAGGCGCCCAAGGGTCACAAGTACCAGCTTGCTGCGCAATACTTTGCAGGTCAAGTGACGGGCGAAGACTATGCCGACTTTTTGACGACGTAAGTATTGTGTTCTCTGTCTGATACTGATATTCCGGAACTTTCATGCTAACACTGCCTGTAGGCTTTTGTACGATGAAATCACAGCTGTTGGCAGCGCGAGTCCCGCGTCCAAGTTGTAGATTGACGGTTGTTTCATGAGCGGAAAATAGTGTCGACGTGTTCACCCGGTGCCAATTAATGTTTCACGATGTGCCTTTTGGTTTTGTTTACATATATGGATCAGAATGCCATTTAGCCTTTTCTTGTTACTTGCCTCTCTGCAGCAGACTGCTCTTATCGTGATAACGCCGCTGAGCTCCACAGTTGTCGCTGCGTCGACGGTGCTGGTGACAGCAGTGAGTTGATCTGCGCCTCCACTCGTCTACCATGTGAATTATGCTGCCACTGCGTCCGACAATCCTCGTCAGTAACCTCTAAAGTCGTCAGTGTAGTTCAAATGATTCACAACGTTCGTTTATCGTTGAGAGTATAACCGTCTAGGGAGATGCATATGACTTGTATGAAATTCACCGTTCGGGGCAAAACCACATGAGAGATAAGAGGCCTGTAGATCCAGGTTCAGTGGACCTCGGACTTTGGGAAAGCACGTTCTTGAACGCCGGCAGATGTTGTTTCGCGATGTGCTCGTGAGATACGATTGTTGAAGTGACTACGACGGCATGGCGTCAGAACACTTAAGTCGGTGAGGATATCGGGAGGACAGCAAGACTTGCTCGGGCAGCCACGTATTGATTTTGCCATGCGGCCAGGGTAGCCTGCGAGACGGCATGATCGGCCCTGTCCCACATGTTCGCATCTTGTGAGCTCGTCATCAAGAATAATATGTTGAATATGGTGTTTCGTCAAGGAACGAGGGGCACCATGATCCGGCGGCGGGAGGAAATATTAACAACAAAGGGTGTGGCGGTTGGTCACAGATTATAGAGCTGTACATACGTGTACGGCGCCTACCATGTCTGATGCAGGAATAGGCGTCAAGTGCCTGAGATTCTCACCAAAGCAGCCCCCTTTCTGTGCTCATTTGGGCTATCTCGCGCGCTGCCACGGCTCTCGTGACGCGGTCTATCCTCAGCACTACATGGGGGATCAAAGTCCTTGACGACGGAAGAAGAAGCGCTCCAAACATAAGCGCTGCTCTTCCGCCATAGGTGGTAATATGTTACCTACTACAGAGGGTCCAACACTGAGGGATCCAGAAAGAGACCCAGGGACTGCCTGGGTCTGTAGGTGAAGACGTGGCGGACGGAACTGGCCTCAATGCCGCTACGACTCCGTGGTCACAAAAGCAGCCCCGAACAAGTAGGAGACGAGACATGACGGAAGAGGCCGTCTCCTGGCAAGGCTGCTGTCTTCTCTGCAGCATCTCTCCCAGCACTGACTGAGAAGACGGTCTTTGAACTGGAAAGTCATGAACGCCAGCCCTCGCGTCAGACCTGGTACCGGTGAGCGTAGTCTCTCCCACTGCAAAACCACTGACATTGGGCCGATACCATGTTCAATAGCATGAGCTTGCTATACTGCGGAGGCTACTCGGATGATCGGAGAGGGAATGTCATTGATGGAGCATCCAGCGCCGTACATCATCAAACATCAGACGCGCCCATTGTCCACGGATAAGGCCACGAGCATTGGAAATAGTGTTCCGCCAGTGACAGCACCAAATCCCCTTAACGCTGCCATCTCTCTCGTCTGATTCCACGGTACTTCGTAAGCCAATGCCTGGTCTGAATGTGTCTTGCATCCCGAGACTACACGATGCCATTGAGACCAGGGACAACGAGGAAGCTCCATGTTCAGGCCCCCTCGCCATTCCTCCTCTCAAGCCACTTGACGTGGACGCGCATGCTCCGCCCCCATTTCACAGGCGGATCTCAGCGTTCCGCCTACGCAAGTCGCTGGTCTCGACCGTTTAAGTGACACTGATCTCGAAGGCATCGTCCCAGCCGGTCGCCGTGGGAGACGGAGTATATGCATCTCCTTCCATCCCTTGGTCGGGCCAGACGATACCTCGCCCAATGGGACGTTACCTCCATGTACTCCCGGCCTCCCTCCTTGTCACTTATCACTTGAGCTTCGCTGACCGAGAGGGAAATCGCTCGGGAGGGTTCGCTCACCGACATCCGAGCACATCACGTATTTTTTTTTATTGCTTGCTCACATACCTGCAGTCCTGCACTAGACACACCATATCCCTGCCTGCTTCTGCTTATCCAATCTGTACCTCATGGAGAAAATTCTGGATGATCAGTCGTATTGCGATTCATCTCTATGGGAAACGTCGGTGAAGCTGTTCGCGGCATGAGCAACAGAGCACACACCACCTTCGTTTTTTGTACACCAGGCGTCTCGAAAACGCGATCCAACAAAAGGTATGCAACCCTCTCTCATTCGCCATAGGTCCATCGAATAGTACATACATACGTCAAAAAGACTCACATGTAGGCTGTGCCCAGAACGGTATAGCCAGCTGTCGGGATCAGTCTGGCCTTGCTCGCAACCCCATTCGCGCTGACAGACAACTATGCTTTCTTTGTCCATTTGCGCACGAGGTGGGCGCACGGAGGCTTAGCTGACAAGCTGAGACTATCAGCTCAAGACAAGTGCCAGCCGGTCAAAGCTTGCTCTTCTAGCCTATTCCACCTGCTTGCTTTTCGACGAAAAGGCAGGGAGGGTGGGCGGGCGTATAGTATGGATGGCTCCTGGGAAATCAGTTGTCCAAGGGTAGGTATATCGATGGCCTCGAGAGACCGCTCCCTGTCGCACTGCTTGGGCGGACTTTGTCGTCCATGGGGGTGTCCAGCCAAGGCAAATGCTCCCATGTGTCTCGACAAGGCCATCCAGACCTCCACTCATAAGCTCGCGGCTCCCCGATGAACAAATTCCTCGTCCCAAAATCCACAACAGGCTTGTAACCCGACTGGCGCGCGCGCTTTTCCATCGGTCACCGAGACAAAGAGTATTTTCTAGACATTCAAGGGATCTCCCGACCGATGTACCGCGAGACACCACATCGACTCTGATCGCAACCCCTCCCGTATCAGCGGTGTCTCTTGACTGTTGCGCCGCTTCAGCTTTGCTGTGCACGCATGTGCTGAATGTCGGGCGTCAGGCTGTCCGAGACATCACGTTGCTTCTGGCGCTTCTGGCAAGGTCGACGGCTCGGGGGAGCCGATGGTTTAGCAACGACCAATATAGATCCAGCCAGTGTCAGCCAGACACAGACCAGGCCGCTGGCCTTTTCAAGTGACGCAGATGGTGTCCAGCGATGGGGGTTTTTCTGCCCTCGAGAATGGGGAAATAGACAGGAATGGACAATGTAGCCAAAATCATGAAGGCTCCATTGGTCAGCTAGGCATGTGTATCCACGGATCGCTCTCTTGTTCTGAGATCATAGTCTCACGAGAAAGAGTCGCACTACATTACGGTGCCTGGGAGGGGGCCGCCTATATCCTACCATGGGAATTTGGAAACGAAAACAGGTGGTTCAGTGGCCCCTGAGACTTAATCAGTTTGAAGAGATCCTTCATCACTGACATTGAAGAGTGGTGTCTTTATCAGGTGTGAGATGTGAATGCAGGCGGCTGTATGAGCGGCGTCCGCCAAATCCATGACGCAGGTTCGTGTGGGAAGCGCGGGTACACCCACGAAGTCTCTCCCGTCTAGTAGCGGCGCTGAACCACACCATCCATATACGTTACGATCGGAACGATGCGGCTCCCGCTGAGACATGACTGCGGCCGGAGCAGCAAAGCGAGATACTGCTACAATGATTGGAATGGTCATCGATAAGGGGGGGATCCAAGACCTACCTTACCATCCGCATTGTATAACTAGGGTTATGGCTCGAAAGTGGATATCCTTTTGCGTCGGGCTGGGGTGTGAATCTGGGTGGACGCAACATGGCGGAGATAGCAGCCAGTCAGCGGCAGTGAGACGCCACGCACGCGGATGGCTGGGAGATCGGCACAGGGGTTCTCATCACAATCGAGGGGCGCGTCAGTAGTTCTTCTTGCCACTGAGCCCACCCCGATCTTCGCAACACTGTCCAATTCAATCACCAAGTCGGTCATTAAGCGGTGCCGGTGAGAGAGTGTTTCGACCCATGGGGCGAGGCCTTTTCGCAACCCTTGACATCATATAGATCGTCAAGTCTGTATTCCAAGCCTCGAAAACGTAGCTGGTCTGAAAGGCGCGCGAGAAAGGTGAGCTACGCGCGACCGATCTGCCAGAAATCCTCGTCGTCCTTTGCATCAGCTGAGAGTCAGTAACGCACGAGCGTGTCATTGATCATTGGGTTATCCGTGCTCAAATATGGGCAACGGACTAGTGTGGCTCAAGAGCCAAGAGCTCGAGCAGATGGCCTAGGCAGCGAGTTGGTTGGGGCGTCGCCAGCTGCTCGCTATGAGGCAGACAAGAATGCAGGGAGGGACCTCCAAAGCTCCAAAGGCCTGCCGTGGGGCTGCATCGGGGGTGCAGTACGACGTGGGTTGTAGTGTACGCACACCACGAATGTCGTCGGGGTGTCCTCGCTTCCTGAGCGGCAGCCATGGGCATTGCCTCTGCATTGATGTGCCATACCAGGCAAGGGGTGCGTTGAGGGGGGATGCTGCTGTGAGGTGGCGGCCTAATGGCCACTAGGAGGGGTGGTTGCACGACAGCATGCACCATTGTGCGGTTGACCGGTCACGCTCGCGCACACCATTGCTCGAGTGTGATGGTGGGCGTGACTTGTGTCGGAGTTGTCAATGCTTTTTTCGAGCTATCGTTGCTGATGGATGGTAAAACGGGTATTGGATGTTGCTGGCGACGTGCGGCGACGTGCGATGATCGTGAGGTTCGAATGATGCCTATGCATCGAGCTGCTCGATGGCCCAAGACAGACCTTAGACCAGGCCGATGAGACTTTGACTTGTGACAAGACGAAATTGCCCGCCCTTCGGTGCAGAAAACCAGGTACCTCATCAGCCCATTGTCCCACCCGTCGAGGTGCCTGTGGCTTCCGTTTAGTGGGAGGGGAGGGGGAGGAAGGAGTAAGGGGGGTGTGAACGGGGAGGGGGCATATGGCCCGAGCTCCTTCCATTTAGGTTTGCCTTTTGCTCCTGCACCAGAAGGTGCATCT